CTGCTGGGCTTTAGTTACATTTAGGGCATCATATGATCTTCAAATAGGGGGCAATTATTTATTATCACCCACCCCTAATTCTTCAGTGATATGAAGCTGAAGTCAGATATTCTCCAGATTCTCATCTGAATTTTCCTGTTCCACCTTAAATGGTGCAGCAGTTACATTCTGGTGCTTCAGGCGTCAGAACTGCTGGACTATTTAAGGTGGAACAGGAAAGTTAGTTCGCTAGCTACGGAGACATTAGCATGCTATTGGCGATTTTTATGCTTGTTATGAAAAAAATGACTGTAAACCACTTAAATGTCATTAAACTAAGATAATACAGTGGTTATTGTAATTTTTTAACTGAGAAAATTCTCACATTTGTGGGTTTCTTTGGTCTCTTGTTCTCCATCTTGCTGGTTTTTCTTTTTTTCTCATATCAGTCTGTTTGGAGTCTCTGAAAATCCTCCGTATGGAGGGTTCATGTAGCCCCAACACTTCACCCCACCCCTCTATCTCAACAAGAATCGGGACACCCGACCCCTAGACAAGAACACCCAAAACAGAGGGCTAAGGGCTGAGTGGTCAGGGCGAGGGGTGAAATGGGACTGGGCCTCAACCTCTTCCCTTTTAACTAGCATTAAATTCTCAAGTAAATGTGAGTGAAAGTCAGATGGAGACACTGCATCTTGCCTGGTGTCCCTGCCCACATTTCACACAGTGTTTTGTTTTTTTTTACGTCTGGTCGGACAATTAATCAGAAAATATTTTCTCCATCTCCTTTCCCCACGTGCTCTCTCTCTCTCTCTCTCTCTCTCTCTCTCTGTCTCTCTCTCTCAGGCCTGGCTCTGATCGATGCGGGCGAGGCGATGCGGGAGCTGGGGGAGGTGAAAGATGCATTAGATATGGAGGTCAAACAGAACTTCATCGACCCGCTACAGAACCTGCACGACAAGGACATCAAAGAGATCCAGGTAAAGTAAACCCACTGTTCACCACTCAGTCTGCCAGGAGTGTGGACCCAGAGGAGATCTGTTTGGACATAGGTGTTCCTCGCCTGTTACTCTGAGCTCTGATTGGTTGATTTAAAATAACTTGGCCAGTTGTCTTCTACTGTATCTGATTTCAATTTAATGAATCGTTTGGTTTTATGTCACCATATTATAAAAAAGCCTAGAACCACAGAAATGCTGGGTCTGGCTGGTAAAGCACAAGATTATTAGTGAAATTTAAAAACTGTCAGTGTATCATGGAGTGTTTGGACGTGCCCTTATGACAGAATCTTCTTAAGCCTGAAATCTTAATGTTGATGATGAAATATTACAGTGATGGTGGTGAATAATGAGGAGGCGGAGCTGAACGTGTGTCTGTTTATTAGGAGGAGTAACGTTAGCACACTCGGCTAAAGCGTTTGGGAAATGGAGACTGAAACTGGGGAGCGGTGACGCTCTGATAAACAGCAGGGGGCGCTCTCACAGTATTCACTACTTACAGTTCATCACACTTTAGTTTAGTTTGACCTTTTTTTACTTCAGTAACGTTGGCTGTCTGGCTGACTAGCTTGATTATTTTGATTGCGTGTTCATGTGTGTATGGTCAGTAATAGACATGACAGCTCATTGTCGACCTCGATTGAGCAGGTTAAGATTTCCTAAGTGGAGATAAGACGCTGTAAGATAAGATAAGATTCCTAAATAAACATCAGATTTGCTTCTGTAATACGAATCTAGTGAAACATCTTATCTTGACCCTTCAGATCTTAAGAGAAGAAGGCAGGAAGTTTCTGTAATTCGGTTTCATGTTGGTCTAAACGGTCCTGACTGAAGCTCCCAGTGTCTGTTTTGTGTGTCCAGCACCATCTAAAGAAGATGGAGGGTCGGCGTTTGGATTTTGACTACAAGAAGAAGCGTCAGGGCAAAGTGACCGATGAGGAGATCAAGCAGGCGCTGGAGAAGTTTGACGAGTCCAAAGAGATCGCGGAGCGGAGCATGTTCAACCTGCTGGAGAGCGATGTAGGATATTCTCTCCTTCTACCCTCTCTGTTCTTCCTCTCTCACCCCTTTATCTCCTTATTTCAGCTGCTACATATCTCATCCTTCAGTCTGCTCTCTCTCCCTACGTTCACTAATAATCTCTCCTCTACACCAACAGTGCATTTCTGATATGATGAATATGTATATGGACATGTGTTCTGCGTATGTGTGTGTGTGTGTGTGTGCTTCTGTGTGTGTGTGTGTCTGTGTGTCTGTGTGTGTGTGTGTGTGTGTCTGTGCGTGTGTGTGTGTGTGTCTGTGTGTGTGTGTGTGTGTGTGTCTGTGTGTGTGTGTGTGTGTGTGTGTGTGTGTACGTGTGTGTCTGTGTGTGTGTGTGTGTGTCTGTGTGCGTGTGTGTGTGTGTGTGTGTGTGTGTGTGTGTCTGTGTGTGTGTGTGTGTGTGTCTGTGTGTGTGTGTGTGCAGATAGAGCAGGTGAGTCAGCTGGCAGCGCTGGTCAGAGCTCAGCTGGACTATCACAGGCAGGCCACTGATGTCCTACAGCAGCTCTCAAGCAAGATGGAGGAGAGGTAAGTGTACAACAACTCCCACAATCCACCTGTGATCTTTGAATGAAAATGCTAGATTAAGGATGATTGTAACTTCATCTCCAGCTTACCTGATCCTAAACTTACTGACTCCACATCAGAGACTGAAATGACAGTGGTGTCCCTCATTAATGTAGAGACACCAGGATGGAATTAAACGAGAACAGTTTGACCTCCTTTAGAGACGAGGACAGAAATAATAAATCCTGTGAACTTGAGCACTTTCTGACGTAGCCCCGATGGCTGACCCTGAGCAGGACAAACACAGAAATCATCAATTCTTAGATTCGTATTCTGGAAAAAATAGCATAAATGTGAATGAAACAATTAGGATATCAGTCAGAATACAGTTAAACTCCGTTTATCACTACATGTCACTAAATGAAAAACGATGGTTCTTCAAGGGTTCTTTAGTACAGAAAATGGTTCTATATAGAACCATGAACACTCAGAGAACCCTTTACATGCTTAAATGGTTCTTTACATGGTAAAATGGTTCTTCAGATTGATGGAGAATGTGCTGTTGGTTGTGATTGTTCTATATAGAACCTTTTTGAAAAGAGTTCTATATAGCAGCAAAAAGGGTTCCTCTATTGTAACAAGCCTGATACGATAACAATAGAACCTTTTAATCATGCAGAGTGTTCATGATTGAAAATGAACTGTCAGCTCAGTGTGTGTGTGTGTGTGTGTGTAAACGTGTGTGTGTGTGTGTGTGTGTGTGTGTGTGTGTTGCAGGATAAAAGAGGCCTCCAGCAAGCCGAGGAATGAGTTCATTCCCAAACCACGCATGGAGCTGCAGTTACCCAGCGAGACCCACAACGGAGGAATACACACCGCTAAATCACCTGCACGATCTCCAGGTACACACACACACACACCACACACACACACACACACACACACACACACACAGACACTCTCACACACACACACACACACACTCACACACACACACACACACACACACACACACACACACTCACACACACACACACAGACCACACACACACCGACTACACACACCACACCACACAGACACTCTCCAGACACACACACACACTCACACACACACACACACACAGACACACACCACTCACACAGGCTCAGTCACTCACTGCAGCCTGATTTGTGTTGAATTTGCTCTCAGAATCAATATCTGCATATTTAATACCTCTCCCTCTTCTTTTCTCTCTCTCTCCCTCTCTCCTTTTGTCTCTCCCTCTCCTTTTCTCTCTCCCTCTCCTGTTCTCTCTCTCTCCCTCTCTCCTTTTGTCTCTCCCTCTCCTTTTCTCTCTCCCTCTCCTTTTCTCTCTCTCCCTCTTTCCTTTTCTCTCTCCCTCTCTCCTTTTGTCTCTCCCTCTCATTTTTCTCTCTCTCCCTCTCTCCCCCTCTGCTCTCTCTCTCTCTCTCTCTCTCTCTCCTACTCTCTCCCACTCTCTTTCTCTCCCCCCTGCTCTCTCTCTCTCTCTCTCTCTCTCTCTCTCTCTCTCTCTCTCTCTCTCTCTTCCCTACTCTCTCCCACTCTCTCCCTCTTTCTCTCCCCCTCTCCCCTCTCTCTCTCTCTAGCTCCTCTGGATCAGCCCTGCTGCCGCGCTCTGTATGACTTTGAGCCGGAGAACGAGGGAGAGCTGGGCTTTAAGGAGGGTGACATCATCACCCTGACCAATCAGATCGACGATAACTGGTATGAGGGGATGATCCACGGCCAATCGGGGTTCTTCCCCATCAACTACGTGGACATCCTGGTGCCTCTGCCCCACTAGGCCCGGCTCACCCCCCCCGACTCCCCCCTCTGCTGTTACCTAGCGACCCAGTTCGCTTTCGCTGTGCATCTGTGCTACTCTTCACTACCGTTTCTGTTGACCCGTCGCCGTGGAGAGGGGCAGGAGGAGGATGAAGGTGATGAAGAGGACGGTGGATGAAGCCACACTCTGACGCGTCTGTGTGCCCGTGCAGTGGTCTGCTCAGAAGCAGGTGGTCCGTGTGTGTACAAGTCTCTGAAACTCTCACTGGGTTTTTGCTTTAAAGCAGAAAAAGGCTGTTCTGTTCACCCGTCGGCTCGTTTATTGTTGGGTTTGTTGTTTTGTTTCCGGAGAAGCGCCTGGAGCACTGCTGCCCTCACCTTCGCTGACCTGCAGGACCGTCGCTCCCTTCTCCCAGCGGAGACCTTCAGCCGGAGCCTGGACACCGGTCCTCTCTCACTTCATGGCTTTGGCTGTCCGTCTTCCTGCTGTCCTCTGTTTCTGACTGAATCACACTGCGCACTTTCCTCGTGACTTTGTTTTCCTCCTGCATGCGTAGTTGTAGCGTCTTTAACTGGGACCATTTGTGACTCTTTGCCGGCATTACTGGTTGGTTTGGTTGTGTTTTGTGATCACAGAGCAGGTTTCTCCCACAGACTTTCAGCAGAACCAGCTCCAATCAGCTGCTAGATCAGCTCCAGTTCACTAAGCGCTGTAGAAGCTGCTACACCAGCAAACACTGCTAGATTGGTTTGGCAACCCAAGTAAACTTGTAATCATAACAAATACTGGACAGCCAGAACTGTTTCACTGCTAGTAAGTCAACCAGCATATCACTGCTGTTGGAACAAAACCTCGTATCTCCATTTTTGTCATTTTTCAGTTTTTGACATATTTTGAAAATACCTGTTGTCCTTTACATTGTGTGTAAATTTCATGATGAATGGATGACTTAGAAAAAAGTCTGGTTCCATTGACTTACATTAAAAGTCAAGAAGGTTTTTTCCTTCTCCTGTAAAGTTACCATTTTAGAGATACAAGGTTTTGTTCCGACAGCAGTGATAAACAAGTAATCAATTTTTTACTATTTTAAAAAGTAATGATGACTAATTTTTACAGTTCTTTCACACAGTTTATACAGTCATACGGAGACAGTCGGTGAACTGGAGCTGCTACTCTTAGCCCACTTTACAAATCCAGTTTGCCTGCACTGTAGATAACACGGCAATTATGATACATACTTAAAAAACACATTTTAAGGGTAAAATATCACTAAGATGCCTGTCAATCTTGTTCTTTACGCTGATCTAAGATTTGTTTTGATGTTGCTTTTAGAAAAGGCTGACCATTTTAAAGGGAAAATCCACAAATTTCTGTCTAACTCAGTGTGTGAGATGTAATCAGAGTGACTCAGAGTGGTTTGGTGTGAAATGGTTCAGTTGTCTTTACAGTGGTGGTGATAGGAACCAGGGGTCGCCATGACTACAACACAGATATAGACATTTTATTTACTATCCAGAACCACCAGTGAACCTACACGAGTCTTCTGAGTTTATATGGAATGTTGATGATGGAAATAGTGGAAAATCTGAAATAATAAGTTTTCTTTGGGGACTATTTTGCCTCACAGCGCCCTGCATGTATCCCTCCACCATGAATGGAGTTTAAGTTCTCTAAACTATCATAAAACAGTGTCTCAGTCATCAGGCAGTGAATTCATAACCATTTCATGTAGGAACTTTCTGTGAGGGAGCTTTTAGAGGTGGACGTCTGGTTCCTATCACCACCACTGTGAACAGTTCTGACTCTAACTAAAGCTAATAGGCTAACAAGCACACTCTGTTCTTAAAGCTGATGGGGTTCAATGGTGCGTTGCTGGAAGGTGAGCAGTCACAGTGCAATACCTCGTTTCAGGGTGTGTGTGGTGTGTAAACAGTGTTAGGTTGTTATTCTGCGCTGAAGTGTTAAATGCTTAGTGTTGATTGACCGATATGATTAAAAGGGGATTTATATTCTCTGATCAATCATTCCAGATATTTACAGCAGTTATCTGTCACAGAAGTAGCTAAACTTGATCTCTGCTTTTTGCTGACCTGTAGATTCATTTAATTAGTTAAGACTTTTTAGCCGACCAAATATTAAGCGTTTAAGTGGACTTACCTGTTGCGGTGGCAGCTCTGTTCTGTCTGAGTTGGGCAGTTTGGAGACATGGAAGGACCGAAGCTTTCACATAAACTAGGACTGTCACTATTGATTATATTAGGAATCAAGTCATGTCCTGATTATTTTGACAATTTGTTGATAATAAGAGTGCAAAAGTTTGAACACACCTGGTCAAATTACAGTTTGTTGATGTTCTAAGTGACAATAACACATCGTCTACGGAGAACACGCTTCAATATAGCACTTTTTGCTAACTAGTGCACAATTTCTGTTTATTTCTGTTTAAATGCTGAGATATCGGAAAAAAATATTGTGTGTAAGTGTGCCATAACATTTGCACAGGCCACACTTTGTCTTTTTCCACCTAATATGTTAATTTAAAGTAAATGAACATTAATTGTTATTAAATGTGCAGAGGTCTGTTCTCTGTAGAGGATGTGTTACTTATTTTCTCTTAGACATGTAATTCGTCCAGGGGCGCCCAAACTTGTGCACATGACTGTAAATGGCCGTGTTTATCAGACTCAGTTTCTTACCACAAGAGGAACGAAGCAGTAGAAGAGTTTAAAAATGAATGATCACTAATCATTAGTGATTAATTTGGATGATAAATTTAATCGAGGTGTTTTTAATTGTGGTGAATCGATTAATCGTGACAGCCCCCTGCTGTCGGCCGGCCGGTGGTCTCGCTCTGTCTTTGCTAAAAAACTGCCTCTCTGAAGCAAAATCAGACGTCTGCTGGGGTCTGAGTTTGTGCTTCAGTCGTGTTGACCCTCAGGTTTCAAGCTTCTTCTGAGTGACCAAAACCAGCTTTAGACACCCCATAATATCCCCTCTCCTTCACCGTCGGTTGTGCCGTGCGGTTTGAAGCCGATCGTGCTCAGCTGTGGCGAGCGGGACCCCCGAGGTCCTGCTATTTACGCTCCTATCCTGCCAAACTCTGATTCTGTAGCTGTAGCCTGATATAAATCATATTTTTAAGAATATTTCTATAACTGATATTACGTGACGATGACATTCCAAGGTGCACAGCGTCGTGTGTGTATATGTGTCTATATGTATGTATTATACAGTATGTAGAGTTAGGTGTTCATGCTCAGTGTTGATCCTGATCGTGTAGTTTGATGACTGTAATAACGCTGCGGTTTGGTGACTGAAGCTGTAGCTGGTCAGTGTGTACAGTGTAAGAGATGAAGCCCATTAGAGTCTCTCAGACCGGCTGTTTCTCTGTATGTTACTGTAAGAGACTCATTCTGTCTGGAGTTGTGAGCTTCTGCAGTTCTTGCAGTTGATTTAAATGAAATGTAAGGCTGTGTTCAGTCTATAGTCGAGATTATAGGTGTACATTCATTTATTTATTTATTTATTTATTTATTTAGCCTTAACATGTTTTCTCATGTAATGAGAGACCAGCGAGTGTCAGTATTCTTGTGATCTTGCATTGGTGATGTCGACTGGCTTGTTGGTTTGGGTGGCGTTTCCACTGATTTGAGGTTTACTCTGCGTTTCTGTAGATCATCTAGTGTTCGTTACCTCTTTTCTGCATTTTGTGTTGGTATGAATGAGCTCAGATTTGCATGCTGAAACAGCCACTCCAGAAGACACTATTAAGGTTTTTTTAGTTAAACATGACAAATACGTTTATTATTGATGATCAGAAATAAAGTCAGAGCAGGAAAAACTTCAGAAAATATACTTTTTAATTCCGAGCGTTTCTCCGTCAGAGCTCGGCGTCGTGTTGCAGTACCTTCCTGAAGCCTGCTTGATCCTTTATGTAATATTAGCTACACCATATAGCTGATTAGCTTATCGTGTTGGGGTTCTGTTGCCGTAATGGATCCAAAAATCTGATTTGGTGCATCAAAAATAGTTGTCGCAGTCCAAAGTTGACGCAGTGAGCTTAGATTCGCATGTGCAGACGTTAGCTTGTGTGTACATATGAATGAGCTTGCATATAACGTTGACGCTAGTCTGTGTAGCGGTTCGGCTAAACATGCTGTAAGACCCTCTGAAATGAATTCAGCTGACATGAGTCCTAAACAGACTCAATCTATAAGTGTCTACATTCTGAACGGCGACCACTGAGAACTGTTTTAGTCTGTAAATCTGTAAATCCCTCTGTCCTAGTGCGATACTACACAGAGAAGACACTGAGCTGCCAGTTTATTAGGTACAGGTTTATTAGTTCCTCTCATTGGCCATTTTATCTTATAGTCCTACTAAACACTGACTTAACTACTGGGCTGCTAAGGCTAAACACAGAGAAACACGAAGAAAACACTTTTAGTTGACCCTGCAAGAATGGAAACTTTTTACAGTGTCAGCTATTTTCGTTACACCAATCAATGTTAGCATTAGCAAGATGATATTAGCCTATCCAATATCCTATAAACAGTATAAAGCAATCAGTGTCCAGCTGTCGACAGCCAATAATCAATACAGCAATAACTCTGGCCGCAGAGGCGGCTCTGTCTGCGGTAGCTGTGAGCTAAACATGCTAACTGTGTGACTGGGAATAGAACCTGGTTTCACTGAGAGATTTCACTGGGAGTGACGTTGGAGCTGGGCAGTCAGTCCAGTTCACCATCACGATTAGAATCCAAATCAGGTTATTGATGATATTTCAGTTTACATTAGTGATTAATGAGTCTGTGTGTCCTGAGAGCTGCTACTTTACTCTGATTGGTCAGTTTTTATTCCCTTTTCTATTATTAAAATGACACTAAAGGAATCATATACAGTGTATTTCTATCACCGTGGCAACAGCGACGCTGCTAGTTTATAACACAGAATGTTTTCATTAAATGTCCAGCTAGTTTTCTATCAGCACTGCTGAAGCTGATAATGTAATGATTTAATACAGCAAATAAATATCAGTTTAAATATCAAAACAGTGTATAAAAAATTAAAAATGTAAAAGACTATCAGACTGATATGCCCCGCCCACCTTCATGGAAACCAGTCAGTGATCTAAACTAAGGGGCGGGGCTTCTGCTATGGACGCACCCACTCTTAAATGACAGGTCTGTTATACTGAAGAGCTTATAGATTCTACAGGTTGTGATTTTTGGGGTTAATTTTGTTACTGAAGTGTGTTTTGTTACAAAACTGACCTGCTGGAATAAACAGTGACATCAGCTCTGGGTCAGAGTGAGACGGTACGGACCGATAGATGGTCTGTGGGTCCCTCAGGCTGTACTGGATTCCACTGACCTGCACTGAGGTCACTGCTCAGTACAATTGGTGCACCATCACTGTTTCCACTCATTTACAGCTGCCCTTATTAATCTATTAATGTACGTCCCGGCCAGCCGTTACCTCACGGGGACCGCACTGCTCTGGGGTGTGTGTGTCTGTGTGTGTGTATGTGTATGTGTGTATGTGTGTGTGTGTGTGTATGTGTGTCTGTGTGTGTGTGTGTGTGTATGTGTGTGTATGTGTCTGTGTGTGTGTGTGTGTGTGTGTGTGTATGTGTCTGTGTGTGTGTGTGTGTGTATGTGTCTGTGTCTGTGTATGTGTGTGTATGTGTCTGTGTCTGTGTGTGTGTGTGTGTGTGTGTGTGTGTGTGTGTGTATGTGTCTGTGTCTGTGTGTGTGTGTGTGTGTGTGTGTATGTGTGTGTATGTGTCTGTGTCTGTGTCGTGTGTGTGTGTGTGTGTGTGTATATGTGTGTGTGTGTGTATGTGTGTGTGTGTGTGTGTGTCTGTGTGTGTGTATGTGTGTGTTAGTCAGCATGTTTTTTTAACCTGAACGTTCTGAAGGTGAATTAAATGTTGATTCCAGCTGTTCACATTGATCTGTTTATTGATTGATTTATTTATTTGCGCCGCTCTTTTCCTGTGCTTGACTACACAAATTGTCCTGCTTGATGTGAGAAATGATGTTATTTATGGAGAAATAAAACGCAGCGTCGCTCTGATGAGTCGGACGTTCAGACGTCGTTAGTGTAACATTATTATATCTTTACCACTGAAACAAACATCTGCTGCACATCTGGTCCAAACCAAACTTCACCCATCAGTAAACAGGGTTCATCACATCACCAGCTCAGTCTCAATGCAGAGGAAGTTACACACACAGCTACAGTCACTCAGGGCAGCACTCTGGCGCCCTCTGCTGGAGAACAGAGCAGACAGCGGCACTCTTGCGCCCACTGCTGGAGAACAGAGCAGACAGCGGCACTCTGGCGCCCTCTGCTGGAGAACAGAGCAGACAGCGGCGCTCTGGCGCCCTCTGCTGGAGACCAGTGCAGACAGCAGCACGCTGGTGCCCTCTGCTGGAGAACAGAGCAGAGAGCGGCACTCTGGCGCCCTCTGCTGGAGAACAGTGCAGACAGCAGCACGCACATATAAGAACAATAATACTTTGCATTGCATTAAAAATAAACTTTATTATTCACACCTTTCACACTGAACTGCAGCTCAAACGGCTTTAGATAAAACACAAAGAGAAAACAGAAATCTGAGAAAATAAAAGCATTGGATAAAAAAGGGGAGAAATAAAAAATTAACAACCCAAAATCCACAATAAAAGTCACAATGAAATAATAAAATGATGATGAAACAAATTATAAAAGGAATACAGTAAAATAAAGTAGAACTAGAAACCATAAAAACTAGAGAGAAGCTAAAATATGTTGTATGTTGTTTTTTTAAAGCTAAACACATGAAATATGATTACTGTGAAGCATAATCTCCTTACCAGCTATATGTAGAAAGAGCCTATTTACATACATACACACACACACACACACACACACACACACACATATATATATATATATATATATATATATATATATATATATATATATACAGTATCTCACAAAAGTGAGTACACCCCTCACATTTTATTATATCTTTTCATGGGATGACTGTACAGAAATGAAACTTGGCTCCCTGGTGTCATGTGACTCGTTAGAGTTACAAGGCTCCAGGTGTGAATGGGGCGCAGGGCTGTTAAATTTGGATATTTAACATGGCGCCTCATGGCAAAGAACTCTCTGAGGATGTGACAAAGAGAATTGTTGCTGTCCACAAAGATGGCCTAGGCTATAAGAAGATTGCTGACACCCTGAAACTGAGCTATAGCACGGTGGCCAAGGTCATACAGCAGTTTTCCATATGCCACACAATGCATCACCTTGTCTGCATGGCCGGCGTCCCAGAAGGAAGCCTCTTCTGAAGCTGATGCACAAGAAAGCCCACAAACAGTTTACTGAACACAAGCAATCCAAGAACATGGATTACTGGAACCATGTCCTGTGGTCTGACGAGAGCAATATAAACTTGTTTGACTCAGATGGTGTCCAGCATGTGTGGTGGCGCCCTGGTGAGGAGTACCAAGACAACTGTCTCTTGCCAACAGTCAAGCATGGTGGTGGTAGCGTCATGGTCTGGAGCTGCATGAGTGCTGCCGGCACTGGGGGGCTGCGGTTCATTGAGGGAAACATGAATTCCATCATGTACTGTGACATTCTGAGGCAGAGCATGATCCCCTCCCTCGGAAACTGCACCGCACGGCAGTTTTCCAACACAATAACGACCCCAAACACACCTCCAAGATGGCAACTGCCTTGCTGAAGGTAAAGCTGGCCAAGTTTGTCTCCAGACCTAAACCCAAATGAGCACCTGTGGGGCATCCTCCAGCGGAAGGAGGAGGAGCGCAAGGTGTCTAACATGCATCAGCTCCGTGATGTCATCATGGAGGAGTGGAAGAGGAGTCCAGTAGCGACCTGTGCAGCTCTGGTGATTTCCATGCCCAAGAGGGTTAAAGCAGTGCTAGATAATAATGGTGGTCACACAAAATATTGACACTTTGAGCACAATTTGGACAGATTCACTGTGAGGTGTACTCACTTGTGTTGCCAGCTATTTAGACATTAATGGCTGTGTGTTCAGTTATTTTCAGAGGACAGTAAATCTGTACTGCTATACAAACTGTACACTGACTACTTTAAGTTATATCCATGTTTCATTTCTATAGTGTTTCCCATGAAAAGATATAAAATATTTGCAGAAATGTGAGGGGTGTACTCACTTTTGTAAAATACTGTATATATATATATATATATATATATATATATATATATATATAAGGGATTAAATAAATGATATGTGCGATTAAATCAAGTCTTCATGGTTCTTAAAAGAAAACACTTCATTTAACTATGTGGAACCTGTTGTTTAAACGAAGTTTAAAGATGTTTTTCTGTGTTTTTAATATGATTTGCTGAATCAGATGAAGGAGAATCAGACATTTCCGCTCTTCAGCCTCAGCTGCCGGACTGCTGAAAAACAAAACGTCTCTAACGGGCCTGAGGTAGCCGTTAGAGACGAGCACAGTCAGAGGAAGATCATGAAGTGGTGGTGGTGGGGTGGGGGGGCTGAGGGGGCTGCAGCACTCCCAGATTTCAGGATTGCAACTGCTAAAAATAATAATAGACGATTTTACACTTCTGTGTTTGTCAATGCGGAAGAGTAAACAGTAGCGTTAAACGGCTTCCGGACAGATGAGTCATTCTATGGAAACGTCCAGCTTTGTGTCCCAAATGTTTATGCTTAAAAAACATGTTAGGGTTACAATTCATCTATATGTTATTTAAACAATTTACATCTTCTCGAGTCTCAATTTAGCAATATTGGTTTTTAAATCAATTATCTAGAATTCCAAGCACCACAGAAGAGCTCGTCCTCACGGTCATGTGTAAAGAGCCATATTCAGAAGTAAAAAAAATGCTTTTCTGCAATTTTAACTGCGATAATCTATACATGACTATGAAATATATGATTTAAATAACATAAAGAAAACAAATGCCCAATGAACATTATGAAACATATAATGAAAGTTGTGGTTTCCAAGGGGAAAAAATCTCTTATTTTGAAATAAAAGTCACACTGATGACATCACTCGACTTCCTTTTACCTGTTTGCTGAGGATCTATGAAGAAAAGCTCATGGTGAGTCCACTGTGTCTTTCAGTTATCAGAGATTTTCTCATTTAGCTCATGATTTCATATGAAGCTTTTAGCTGAAGTCACTGGTGTGACCGACTTTATTCTGAGGTAATTGTGAAAAAATCGAATACAAATGGATTAAATTCCATATTTTAGTGGATATTCCATGATTGACAACATGTGGTTTGATGCTCTGTAGCAGGTATTCTGAAAAATGCGTTGTTCATTAAAATGTCTCTGGTGTTCCTTTATTATGTGTAACACCAATGAGGATCAGTAACCCCAGTGACACCTGTGGACAGTAAAGTGGACGTTTCTGTAGAATGACCCATTTCCTCACATTCGCTGTGTCTCTGAGCTGGTTATGGTGTTCTGGGCACTCGCTAATGTTGCTAATGTTCACATGGGCTGAGTATGAAGACTCAAACCTGGGCTTTTTCTCCACAACATAGAGAACATAGAGATCCTCTCGGTTCCCCTCCGCTTTGTAAAACTTCCTCGCGGTTCAGACGCAGATTTTTGCGGAATACGTCCTGAACGCAGCCGCTCTGACACGGAGAGTCCACAGCAACGGACGCGCAGAGTCATACGAGTTCAACAAGTTCAAAGTTTTGAGCGACGCGCTTTGGCCAAGTCAAACTAGCCTTTCTGCCCATGTTGTAGGAGCTACCAGAGGGAGGCTGAAAACCAGCAACCCCCATTGCTGCTCGGTTAGACGGTGCAGGTGGAAGCAGAGCCAGTTTATGAGGAGCCTGGCCACTTCCTATTTCCCCCATTATATTGAAAACAGGACGGCAAACAGCAGAGGGCGCCAGCGAGTGAGTCCTCAATAAATGGGAGGGAATGGAGCTCAACAGCTAAAAACGAAAAGTTAAATAGATTCTAATCACCAAACCAGAACTTTCCTTTAATTTTAGAAGGTAGAAGTTTGTATTTCACTAAAAACTAAGAAAACTCACCTTTATTCTACAGCAAACAGGTTTTAAACCCCTATAACTCCAGTTTAAAAGCTCTTAAATATATAACAGCAATGTTAAAATTTTTATGCTGCAGCCCCCTCAACTCCCCCACTTCCCGCATCCCCGGTTTCTATCCGTTTTACTCACCGCGATGACTGTTTTCTGCAGTGCTGAGTGGTTGAACAGACTTTCAGATAGTGTACCTTTCTGTTCCAGGAGATTCTGATCTGAATGTAGGTTATGCTCTAAAATATGGGGCTCTGAGGTTTGAGGGGCCAAGATCTACTTCTGCTCCTAATGTTATCAATGCACCAATATGAATGATCAGTTGACTGATCCTAAGCCCCGCCTCATTTTCTCAGCTATCGTTCTTTAGCTTAGCTTAGGCTTTCAGTTCTTTAATGGTTAGCGTGGTGCAGGCGTGTACTGAGAGAGGGACAGTGGCCTACCTTTGCTTTGATAACACACACAATCACCGCCACCAGGAGCACAGCCGAAAGGACGCCAACGACCGCTATCCAACTAACACACGTCTCATCTGGAACAGCCGAAAAGATTCAGTTACATTTCAGCAGAGTCTTCAGTCAGAGACTTCAAGAGAGAAGAGAAAGAAAAGCGCTCTCACACTAATGCACTCTTATTTTGAAAAGCAAGCTCCTTCTGAGTGCTTCAACCCAGATAGCAAACACATTTGGGCCTAATCTGTGCCACTTTTGGCACTTACGGCTCAGTTACAGCACGGCGAAGTGTCACGTAGGCCGGACGTGGGCCAAATATCACGAGCTGGAAGCTGAGGTTAAGTCCTCTGGCCCTGATTTGGCCCAGATTTGGCCCATGTACGGTGGACCTGTGGCTGAGTTCAGGCAGCCAGACTCACCCTGAGTCAACATCGTACATCAGGGCCAAATGTGGGCCATCAGAGTTCTACAGATGTGGGCCAACTTTGGGCCAAAAAGTCATTGCTATCTGGGAAGTAGTTCAAGGTTATCAGCGGTAACTCCCAGTAATTCATACATGGCTTGATCTTTTCCTCCTTTACGATTTCCTTCTGCTTCACTCTGCAGTAGAACACGTCACCCGACTTTACATCGGCGCTGCTTTCCACGTCGAACAGCTTATCGTCTCTTTCTGTCTTCGTAACCTTTGCTGTCAGGACGGTTCCGTTACTGTCCAGCCACTCAAGCTCAGGCGCAGGTAGCCAGCCTTTAGATTTACACTGTAAAGTCGCCACTGTGATCTCAGGGTGCGTCCCAATAGCTGTGGATTAAAAAGGGATAAAAACATATAAAAGAGATAAAAGATAGTTCAGAGTTTCACATCCACCTTCTTAAGCAAATGTTGTAAAGGTGCATTAAGAACTGGATGGAAAAGCCAAAAGTTTGAATAAAAAAGTGTTTATGGTGGGACGAGGTGGGACGACAGGAGACAGATCGAGTTGAGATTTTCTCAACTTTATACAAATAAACTCTGGCACAGCGAAGTGTCTAAGTGACCGGCTCAAACACATCATTAAATTCATACATTTACACCACCTTTCATAATTTAAACCAAACTGCTGTACGTTTATGGAGCGTTCTACTGAATCAATTCACACTGAGCTCCCAAAGGAAAACAACTATTCAGTGTATGTTCTGATCTGATCAAACCCAAGACATTAATAGAGACAGGAATAAGCTAAATATACAGTGGTGTGAAAAAGTGTTTGCCCCCTTCCTGATTTCTTATTCTTTTGCATGTTTGCCACACTTAAATGTTTCAGATCACCAGACAAATTTAAATGTTAGACAAAGATAACAAGTAAACACAAAACGCAGTTTATAAATGAAGATCTTTATTATTAGGGGAAAAAGAAATCCAAACCTACAGGGCCCTGTGTGAAAAAGTGATTGCCCCCTAAACCCAATAACTGGTTGGGCCACCCTTAGCAGCAACAACTGCCATCAAGCGTTTGTGATAACTGGCAATGAGTCTTTTACAGCACTGTGGAGGAATTTTGGCCACTCATCTTGGCAGAATTGTTGTATTTCAGCCACACTGGAGGGTTTCCGAGTATGAACCACCTTTTTAAGGTCGTGCCACAGCATCTCAATCGGATTCAGGTCAGGACTTTGACTAGGCCACTCCAAAGTCTTAATTTTGTTTTTCTTAAGCCATTCAGAGGTGGACTTGCTGGTGTGTTTTGGATCATTGTCCTGCTGCAGAACCCAAGTGTGCTTCAGCGTGAGGTCACGAACAGATGGCCGGACATTCTCCTTCAGGATTTTTGGTGGACAGCAGAATTCATGGTTCCATTTACCACAGCAAGTCTTCCAGGTCCTGAAGCAGCAAAACAGCCCCAGACCATCACACTACCGCCACCATATTTCACTGTTGGTATGATGTTCCTTATCTGAAATGCTGTGCTACTCCTACGTCAGATGTAACGGGACATACACCTTCCAAAAAGTTCAACTTTTGTCTCGTCAGTCCACAGAGGATTCTCCCAAAAGTCTTGGGGATCATCAAGATGTTTTCTAGCAAAACTGAGACGAGCCTTTATGTTCTTTTTGCTCAGCAGTGGTTCTCATCTCGGAACTCTGCCATGCAGACCATTTTTTTTTGTCTCTTTCTTATGGTGGAGACACTGACCTTAACTGAGGCAAGTGAGGCCTGCAGTTCTTTGGATGTTGTTGTGGGGTCTTTTGTGACCTCTTGGATGAGTCGTCGCTGCGCTCTTGGGGTAATTTTGGTCAGCCGGCCACTCCTGGGAAGGTTCACCACTGTTCCATGTTTTCGCCATTTGTGGATAACGGCTCTCACTGTGGTTCGCTGGAGTCCCATCTTTTGGTGTACTTCACTTTGTCAGGCAGGTCCTATTTAAGTGTTTTCTTGATTGAGAACAGGTGTGGCAGTAATCAGGCCTGGGTGTGGCTCAGCTTTCCAAAGATGTGATAAAGCACAGTTAATTTATGTTTTAATGGGGGGGACAATCACTTTTTCACACAGGGCCCTGTAGGTTTGGATTTCTTTTTCCCTTGATAATAAAGATCTTCATTTATAAACTGCGTTTTGTGTTTACTTGTTATCTTTGTCAAATATTAAAATTTGTTTGGTGATCTGAAACATTTAAGTGTGACAAACATGCAAAAAAATAAGAAATCAGGAAGGGGGCAAACACTTTTTCACACTGCTGCATACGCAATCATCATTTATAGGGTGATTTCTATCGAGAGGAGTCTGTCCCAAACCCCAACCCCTAAACGTACACTTTAATTTTTAATACTTACATTTTTCCATTGTAGTTTTAAGTGCAGTTAAATAGGTTTGGCTTTAATATGAGTTTAATTTTTAAAGGAAAAATACTGACAACATTAACATGTCCCTAACACAGAGTTTTAGTCTTAGTCTTTAGTCTTATTTTAGTCACAACTCTGCATTTCAGAGCAGGAAGTGAGGCCGCATGCTGAGCAGTTAGATCCCATTGTTTTGAACTAAATGTGTCCCAAAGTCTGAAAATCAGCGTGAAACATTAAGAATCGTCATATTTTCTGCAGTTCAGCACTTTTTAGTGTTTTAATGTAAAATTTGATTATTTTATGTGTGAACAGCTGTTCAGAGCTGCGTTTGCTGGTCGTGTACTGGCTACTATTTTTGTGTTCTGCTCAAAATGAGCTAAAACTGTCACTGAAACAGTCACTACTGAAACAGTCACTACTGAAACAGTCACTACGGAAACAGTCACTTCTGAAACAGTCACTACGGAAACAGTCACTACTGAAACAGTCACTACGGAAACAGTCACTTCTGAAACAATCACTACTGAAACAGTCACTACTGAAACAGTCACTACGGAAACAGTCACTTCTGAAACAGTCACTACGGAAACAGTCACTACCGAAACAGTCACTACCGAAACAGTCACTACGGAAACAGTCACTACGGAAACAGTCACTACTGAAACAGCCACTACCGAAACAGCCACTACCAAAATAGTCACTACTAAAACAGTCACTACTGACAGTCACTACTGAAACAATCACTACTGAAACAATCACTACTGAAACAGTCACTACTGAAACAATCACTACGGAAACAGTCACTACTGAAAGTCACTACAGAAACAGCCACTACCGAAACAGCCGCTACTGAAACAGTCGCTACGGAAACAGTCACTACTGAAACAGTGACTACAGAAACAGACACTACTGAAACAGCCACTACCGAAACAGCCACTACCAAAACAGTCACTACTAAAACAGTCACTACTGACACAGTCACTACCAAAACAGTCACTACGGAAACAGACACTACGGAAACAGTTGCTACTGAAACAGTCACTACTCAAACAGTCACTACCGACACAATCACCACCGAAACAGCCACCCCCGACACAGTCACTACCGAAACAGTCACTTCTGAAACAGTCACTACTGAAAGTCACTACCAAAAGAGTCACTACCGAAACAGTCACTACTGAAACAGACACTACTTAAACAGTCACTACTCAAACAGGCACTACTGAAACAGTCACTACCAACACAATCACCACCAACACAGTCACTACTGAAACAGTCACTACTGAAACAGTCACTACGGAACAGCCACTACCGAAACAGTCACTACCAAAACAGACACTACGGAAACAGACACTACTGAAACAGTCACTACTGAAACAGTCACTATTGAAACAGTCACTACCGAAACAGTCACTACTGAAAGTCACTACTGAAACAGTCACTACTGAAAGAGTAACTCCCGAAACAGTCACTCCCGAAACAGTCACTACTGAAACAGTCACTACTGAAACAGTCACTACTGACAGTCACTACTGAAACAGTCACTGCCGAAAGTCACTACTGAAACAGTCAGTACCAAAACAGTCACTACTGACACTGTCACTACTGAAACAGTAGCTACTGAAACAGTCACTACCGAAACAGTCACTACTGACAGTCACTACTGAAACAGTCACTACTGAAACAGTCACTACTGACAGTCACTACTGAAACAGTCACTACTGACAGTCACTATTGAAACAGTCACTACTGAAACAGTCACTACACAAACAGTCACTACTGACAGTCACTACTGAAACAGTCACTGCCGAAAGTCACTACTGAAACAGTCAGTACCAAAACAGTCACTACTGACACTGTCACTACTGAAACAGTAGCTACTGAAACAGTCACTACCGAAACAGTCACTACTGACAGTCACTACTGAAACAGTCACTACTGACACAATCACTACTAAAACATTTGGTAACATTCCATCTTCAGGAGTTCAAAATAGAAGCACCAGCTTTGTTTCACAGAAAATGTGCTTTAATGTTTCTGAAACTGACATCACAAAGAAATTTTTTATTTATTTATTTATTTTTTTAAAAGTCAGTTTGATGGAAACAAAAACATTATTGTGGTTATATTGCAATTTGTGCAGAAAATCCATGGAAAGTTAAAAGCTACTAATTAATTGGGATTTTTCTGTTATTCACTTTTTCTACAGTTAAAATACATTTAAGTGGAAAGACTTTTACCTTTAACTTGAAGATCAACTTCCACTGCTCCCTCTTGGCTTCCAGACTTAACAGTGCATTTGAATTTTCCATTGTCAGCACCTTTGACCTGAGCCAGGCTGAGAGAGGCGTCGCCTTTCCTGAGCGCAGCTTTATGAAGAGCTGTTCTGTTCTTGTAGGACCCGGACTGCTGGGTGACATCATCCTTTTTATTTTCATACAGATGCACTTTTGTGTTGGATTTGGTCCACGTAACATTCAAATCCTCGGCGTTCATGCTGGCTTTATCGCTCTCACGCTGGACGAAGCACGGCAGAATTACATTATAACCAAGTGGAATTGAAACAGGACTGCCTGGACTGACCACCTTAAACTTCTCTGTGAAAGAGAAACAGAGCATTCAATAAACCACAGACAATCTACTGAGTCACGCACACCACAGATAATCTACTCAATAACATACACCACAGATAATCTACTCAATCACACACACCACAGATAATCTACTCAATCACACACACCACAGATAATCTACTCAATCACACACACCACAGATAATCTACTCAATCACACACACCACAGATAATCTACTCAATAACACACACCACAGATAATCTACTCAATCACACACACCACAGATAATCTACTCAATCACACACACCACAGATAATCTACTCAATCACACACACACACCACAGATAATCTACTCAATAACACACACCACAGATAATCTACTCAATCACACACACCACAGATAATCTACTCAATCACACACACCACAGATAATCTACTCAATAACACACACCACAGATAATCTACTCAATCACACACACCACAGATAATCTACTCAATCACACACACCACAGATAATCTACTCAATAACACACACCACAGATAATCTACTCAATAACACACACACCACAGATAATCTACTCAATAACACTCACCACAGATAATCTACTCAATAACACACACCACAGATAATCTACTCAATAACACACCACAGATAATCTACTCAATCACACACACCACAGATAATCTACTCAATCACACACACACACACACACACACACACCACAGATAATCTACTCAATCACACACCACAGATAATCTACTCAATCACACACACCACAGATAATCTACTCAATCACACACACCACAGATAATCTACTCAATCACACACCACAGATAATCTACTCAATCACACACACCACAGATAATCTACTCAATAACACACGCCACAGATAATCTACTCAATCACACACACCACAGATAATCTACTCAATAACACACACACCACAGATAATCTACTTAATCACACACACACCACAGATAATCTACTCAATCACACACACCACAGATAATCTACTCAATCACACACACACACCACAGATAATCTACTCAATCACACACACACCACAGATAATCTACTCAATCACACACACACACACCACAGATAATCTACTCAATCACACACACCACAGATAATCTACTCAATAACACACACCACAGATAATCTACTCAATCACACACACACACCACAGATAATCTACTCAATCACACACACACACACCACAGATAATCTACTCAATCACACACACACACACCACAGATAATCTACTCAATCACACACACACACCACAGATAATCTACTCAATCACACACACCAAAGATAATCTACTCAATAACACACACACCACAGATAATCTACTCAATAACACACACCTCAGATAATCTACTCAATCACACACACACCACAGATAATCTACTTAATCCCACTCAATGTGTGTTTGTCCTCTGAAATTCTTGATAAATATAATCATAGTAGTGACACAAACACCTTCAAACACACATTCAGACTCATTTTACATTCATTCAGTCTTAATCTCTGGATTGTTCTTTTCATTAGTTCACAATAAATACAGCTCAGGAGAAACTTAAACTGAACTAGTTATTCATCTTGAGAGGTCTTCCAGCCTGTGTGTTGTTTCTCTAATCTGTGTGGGACTGTAGGCTGTATGTGTTTGGGAGTTCAGTCCTTTAATAGAGTTACTGTACCTGAAAGAGCACAGTGGAGGAACAGCATCATCACCCAAACACACTTCATTTCTGAAACACAGATGACACCAGTTCACTCAGCAGAGCCAGACAAACATAAAATTATTGATTTATTACTTTTAATCATTTTTTGTGTTGTAAAAAACCTAAACCATAATAAACACACCCTGCTTAAGAATGAGCAGCTCAGCAGACGGCTAACAGGCTAAAAGTCTTTAGGTTAATATATTTACTAAAGGACTAAAACTGCAATAGAGAGTAAAGAATATGTGAGGCGCATGTTTTCAAACACATCTAAAGCTTCAAGTGTCAGAGTTTAAGCTGGATCAGCCGTGCTGGGTCACAGTGAGTGGGATTCCCCTATAGTTGTATGACATATTTGCGTAGTGCATGCTGGGTATTGTAGTGAAGGAACACAGACAGGACAAAAACATAAAAGAGATGTAAAATAGTGACTTTTCAATGAGGCTGAGGTGGAATGGGGTATAAAATAAACACCCATAAGCACTAAACTGTAGCGTCCTGTCCTGCTCGGTCCTCGTCCTCCTCTGTCTCCCCCTTGGTTGTGCCTTGTGTTTTTTTTGTGTTTTTGTTTATGTCTGTCTTGTGCTTTTGTTGTTGTTTTGGTCCCTGGTCCTGCCCCCTTGTCATCTGCTCCACCTGCCTGTAGTCTGTAGCCCCGCCCCTTATCAGTCCCAGGTGTTTCTTCTTCCCCCTCCGTGTATTTATACCCCTGTGTTGCTCAGTTCCTCCCCTCCTTTTCTCACTGATGTCCAGACCAGGTCAGAACACAGGAGCCCGGCTGGGTGGTGTCTGTTACTGTGGATTCACTTTGCTGCCTAATGATATTACAGGAGGCCCCGTGGTGGCTTTGGTGGGCCCTTAGCAGCCACTCAGCACTCTTTCCAGCCCTGAGTATGAGCGGTTGCTAAGGGCGATACTTTTATTCGTACTTATATCGCTGCAGTAACGATACAGTACTGTATCTACAGTGATGATTTACCTGATTATGAATAACAGTGAAACCTGGTAAAGTGCTCTTCCTGAAGGAAACGCAGGGAGATTACTCAGCTTAAGCTTTCCTACACCCTGACTGGGGTGTGGTGATGATCTCTCTCTCTCTCTCTTACTCTCTCTCTCCCTATTCCTCTCTCCCTCTCTCTCTCTCTCTCTTTCTTTCTCTCTCTCTCTCTGCTTCTCTCTCTCATGCTCTCCCCCCCCCTCTCTCTCTCTCTCTCTTTCTCTCTCCGTCTCTCTCTCTCTTTCCCTCTCTCTCATGCTCTCCCCCTCTCTCTCCATCTCTCTCTCTCTCTCTTTCTCTTTCCTGCCCCACACTCTCTCACTCTTTATTGATTATTGATATCGGTCCTTATTGATATCGGTCATTATTGATATCGATTTTTGACTTTCTATGTCACACTAATGTCTTATAAAGGCTTTACATCTCGTTTTCTTAAGTTATTGAGTGATAACATTTTTTAAAATACTTTTTTCAAAAAGTTCATACATTTCAGAAAAGTAAGTTATTATTTTAAAACAATGTTATCATTTCAGCACAGTAAGACACATTTTCAAGAAATTAAATAATTATTACAACATAGAAAATCAATATTTAGAGAGAATATTAATATTTTGTGATTATCATTATTTTGAGACACTCTAAATTGTGTTAAACTGCTGCCAGTAACAAAAAAAAACAAGGCCAAACTTTTTTTATCCTCTGTCTGATAAGAACAGCCTTAGAGAACCCGCTACCTTTCATTACGGCAATACAGTAATAATCAGATCACTGGTACCTCAGACTGTTTATAAACCCTAAATCAGCATCACATGGTTTATTTTTATAATAAAAACAGCTTCATTAAGAGGAGCGGACTCACCGGACGTTGGTCAGACGGTGGACGGCTGTCTGAGTCTGCGGTAATAAAGCCTTATTAATCAGCTGGAGATCCAGATGATGAGCCGGTCAGAGCTGCTGCATCCCCCCTTTATAAGTGACGCTCGGGGGGCCGTCAGGTTTGGTTTTTGCGTAACGCTGTTTCGGTTGGTTTAAGCTGAAGTGTGAAGGAGCTCTTACACTTACTGTGAAGCCACACCCAGAAATCCTGCTGACCAGCATCAGCTCTTCAGCTGCTGACTGCAGTTTAACTGGACGGTCGTGGTTCTGTACAGTAGCCTAAGGATGCTGGTGTAATAAACTTCTTTATCTGTTCAATAAGCATGATCCATCTCATATATCATAATTACCTCATAATCTATCTCATATAGCATAATCTATCATCATCTATCTCATATAATCTCTAGTAATTTCATATACCCTGGAAAAAGTGTTTAATTGTATTTTATTTAATTGTATTGTATGTAATTTCACATAGTGATTACTGAACACCTCCACACACTGATTCAGGCCTGCAGTTAGCTCCATGCTAATTGGTGGATATCTTCCATACATTAGCCTCATAGCTGCAGTGCTAAAACTAAAGAAGACACAGATATGTCTGGGCTGATGGACTGCATTTCGGACAAGAGAAGAACTGGACATTAGGCTTTTGTCATTTACACAGAATTAAATGTGTATATTGTGCACAAGGCAGTGTGTATGTGTACATAAACAGACGGGGGATGAATTACTGATAAAAACATAAGTGTCCTGGTAACCATCAGCCACCTGAACACCCTCAGTCCACCTCAGCACACGACTCTTTCACTTCAACAGGGAGTACTGTTCAGCTGTTCAGCCGTTGGAGTCCTTTACACTGTGATATCAACCAATCAGGAAAACACAGAATACCACTAGTGACTACTGGACCAGCTGGAACCAATAGAAACTTGTAATGGTTTTTTAGTAGCAGGTTCAGGTTTCTTGATCTTGACCGATCGATTACAAACATCAGCACAAAAGCAGTTCAGCATCCCAGTAATGAAGTCTATTTATTCCCATGTTTCTGCTGAGCTAGGATGTCATTTCACAAATATAGACTATATTATGTTCACATGTGGCAGGAAGTTTATTTCTCTAGTAGCCACTCAAAGCATCCTAATCCTAAATTTCAGTGTTTCAGGAGCGGGCGGGAAACCAGCCCACTGCAGTCGGGAGTGGGATGAAGCATGCATGAAGAGCAATCCTGCAAATCAAGGATTATCCTAAATAAAGTAGAACAATCACTAAATCACAAATATAAACAATATAAAATCATCATCATCATCATCATCATCGTCGTTAACCGCTTAGTCCAGATAGGGTCGCGGTAGCAGTTGGGAGAGCAGAGAATCCCAGGTGACCCTGTCCCCCGCAACTTCCTCCAGCTCATTCCCTGGGGACCCCAAGCCGATCCCAGGCCAACTTGGAGATATAACAATATAAAATAATAACTTTATAATTTTTATTTTTTACAGTATAAAATAATAACAGTAAAACATTTAAAATGAAGTCATTCTAAAGAGCTGTGAAGCAGCTGAGCAGTTGACGGAACTGTGCTGGAACGGGACAAATGAGTCCCGATTTTGGGGCGAAGCGGGCAGAAGCAGGATTAAATCTTACAGGTAGACCTTTACCTCACAGCGAGAAGGGTCTGGGTTCAATTCCCCAGCCAGGTGCCTGAGGTCCTTTCCGTGTGGAGTCTGCATGTTCTCCCCGTGTCTGTGTGGGTTTCCTCCCACAGTCCAAAGAAATGCAGTCAGGCCAGTTGGAGATGGTAAACTGCCCCTAGGTGTGAGTGTGTGTGTGGATGTATATGTGCCCTATGATCAACTGCCGACATGTCCAGGGTGTTTCCTGCCTTCCACCCAATGACCGCTGGGATAGGCTCCAGCTCCCCCCCACGACCCATGAGGATAAGCGGCTTAGATAACGAGTGCGTGTGTCTGTAGAGCAGAGCTGATGTTTTTTGAGGGCTTATGCACTGCAGCTCTACTATAACATCACTCTCTACATAGCTGTGGACGGACTGTTCTAGCTAAGACAGTCTGATCTCGTCCTGCATTGACGTTCTCACCTGACAAACATCTGCTCTTACATATCACACTACTGCACAAGCATCACGCTCACTAAGTGGGCACTTTCAGCCCTGTTTACTGAGGTCTTTCTCATAGAGCTCAATGCAGAGGTCACTTTAGTCACTGATCTCTCAGATCCTCTGGTCAGTCAGACAGTAGACTGCTGCTGTTCTCTGTTCTGTAAGCGAGACTGATGGACTTCTCTTTTTGTCCAGCGCTGTTACAGTAATTTTAGGCCAAAGCGTGAAGCTCAGCGTGAAGCTCAGCGTGAAGCTCAGCGTGAAGCTCAGCGTGAAGCCGCTCCCAAAAATTTTACTGATCAGCATCAGCCCTTTCTTGGCACAGTGTCCCAGGATAGCTGTGGTTTAGTCAGGCTAGCTGTTCTCAGTGAAAGTGTATTTATTTTCACACTGCTGACGTTCACTGCAGTCACACTGGACATGTGCAGAGTGTGTCACTGTGTAAATGGGCATGACCACAGCTGGACCTGAAGACTGGAAATGAAAAAGTGTTGGTGAAATTTACTCACCAACCAGGAAAGACATAATTATACACTCGAGAGAGTCAGAGAGAACAGGGTGTATCGGGTCAGTAGGTAAAATGGGCCACCCTTTGTATCCAGGCAACCATACACAGAAAGAACCATGTGACCAGAGAATCAGGACGAATGTAAGAACAGTGCTGAGCTGACCAGATGCATGATTTCTCTCACCCCAGGTGAAATTAGAAAGGTTAGGATGGTATCAGTCTGACGTGTGAAAAGAAATAGATAGAACTGGGATACTTTAACATACAACCTACAGCCGTATAAACTTCAACATGAGGTCATAAACTTGCTGTGAGTCTTGGTTCATGTGGAGCGTTTTTTGTACCACTGGCATGTTAGGCCAACAGCTCAATGTACCCCAATTACAATAAAAAAGTGTACATTCACTTAAATATAATTATGTAAAACACATCCATGCATGTTGTATTGATAACACAGAACTTCTATCATGCCAAGAAACTACAAATGTAAAACCAAGGTGCAAAACACAGGGGGTCCTGGGGGTCCGGGACCTCCCAATTAAACTGCTGGAGCATCTGAAAGTCTCAAAATTACATTGCTGGGTGTCCCTGAAAATAAACGCATGATGTTTTGCTGTCAGCGTTTATCCGCTGTAGCAGGCTGGTTCACCCAGTTGGTCCTTCATAGTCTAGAAACTGTAACTCTGCCCGGATTCCTCTGAAACACTTTACAATGAGCTGCAGCAGATCTGTAAATCTGAAAACTCGCCCAGTTTCCCAAGAATATGAAATTCTTAATCCATAGGGTTTAATATGATGTTGGCTCACCCTTTGCAGCTATGACAGCTTCAACTCTTCTGGGAAAACTTTCCACAAGGTTTAGGAGTGTTTATGGGAATTTTTGACCTTCTTCCAGAAGTGCATTTGTTAGGTGGACGAGAAGGCCTGGCTCGCAGTCTCCGCTCTAATTCATCCCAAAGGTGTTCTGTCGGGTTGAGGTCAGGACTCTGTGCAGACCAGTCAAGTTCTTCCACACCAAACTCGCTCATCAATGTCTTTATGGACCTTGCTTTCCCCAAACAGTTCCCACAAAGTTGGAGCATGAAATTGTCCAAAATCTCTTGGTGCTGAAGCATTAGGAGTTCCTTTCACTGGAACTAAGGGGCCGAGCCCAACTCCTGAAAAACAACCCCACACCATAATCCTCCCTCCACCAAACTTTACACTCAGCACAATGCAGTCAGACAAGTACCGTCTCCTGGCAACCGCCAAACCCAGACTCATCTATCGGATTGCCAGACGGAGAAGCGTGATTGGTCACTCCAGAGAACACGTCTCCACTGCTCTAGAGTCCAGTGGCGGCGCTTTACACCAGTGCATTCGACGCTTTGCATTGCACTTGGTGATGTAAGGCTTGGATGCAGCTGCTCGGCCATGGAAACCCATTCCATGAAGCTCTCTATGCTGTTCTTGAGCTGATCTGAAGGCCACATGAAGTTTGGAGGTCTGTAGCGATTGACTCTGCAGAAGGTTGGTGACCTCTGCGCACTATGTGCCTCAGCATCTGCTGACCCCGCTCTGTCATTTTACGTGGCCGACCACTTCGTGACTGACTTGCTGTCATTCCCAGTCGTTCCACTTTGTTATAATCCCACTGACAGTTGACTGTGGAATATTTAGTAGTGAGGAAATTTCACGACTGGACTTGTTGCACAGGTGTCGTCCTATCACGGTACCACGCTGGAGTTCACTGAGCTCCTGAGAGCGACCCATTCTTTCACTAATGTCTGTAGAAGCAGTCTGCAGGCCTAGGGGCTCGGCTTTATACACCTGTGGCCATGGAAGTGATTGGAACACCTGAATTCAATTGGATGGGTGAGTGAACACTTTTGGCAATACAGTATATAATATTTATTATTATTAAAGGAAAACACTTGAATAAATGTATGTCCTAACATACTGTTTTGACACACAACACACTTAAAATAATTTTTAAATGCCACCAACCTACATGGATTTTTTGCATAATGTTTTCTAAAGAAATGACTTTTAAAGTTCGCTTTATTACATTTAGCATTTTCATTGCAATATATTTCAAATTAAATACCAATCACATTGATATTGATATTTCTAGGAGTTCACATTTAAAATATGTTTGATTTTTAATGTTTGTAATATGTGTTTTAATGTATTTAGTGCATGTAAGTGTAGAATAATTTGAAATTCATCACAAAGTTCTAGTTTAGAACACAAAAGCACTCGAGGGCAAAGAAGATGAATTTGAACATTAGTTAAATATAATTAAAGTGGGAATACGTTGTATTTAGTAATTTCTAATATGTTTTTGAAAGTAGACTTAAATACATATTTTATTTGTTTAATGTACCTAAGTATATAAATAAAGTAAATTTTGGTTGCAGTTTAACTCAATAAGTAGAACTGAAGTGTTTCAGTAAATCAAGCAGAATATTTAAAATATATTTCACATGTAATAACAGCTCATAATTTGTTTAGAAATGCACT